GCAGTCGCGCGACAACTTAAGCCAGGCCAACTGCCAACATCTCCTTCTTCAGACAGTGATGTGGTTTAGGGTTTAGGGTTTAGGGTAGGGTTTAGGGTTTAGGGTGTAGGGTTGAGGGTTGCAGGTGGGGAGTTTAGGGTATTATAGGGTTTCTATAAGGCTTCTATAAGGGTATATAGACCTTCTAAACGGCTCCCACAACGGGAACTACGCACCTGAAAATGTCCTAGAAGTGATGTGGTTTGGGAATTACGGCTTCGGTTTAGGGGTTCGGGGTGGCACGGATACCATGTAGAAATTGAACACTCGTTCCTCATGCAGACTGCGCGTTGACGAAATCCTGCCTTATCCATGGGAACAGATTGCAAAAACACAAAAACATACTTGCGAGCAGGAGGCACTTGAGGTCAAACGAAGAAAGTAGCGATCGGATAACGGAGCTACAGCAGATATTGTTGCAGGTCAAAGGACTGGAAGTTCTCGTATCCGGCGAATGGGCCATAATAGCTGGAATCAGGTTCTGTGTTAAACTACATTGCACCGGTATCGAGGAACCCTAAGAAATATCATTGCAGTGTATCTGTTTAGTGCTCGAGGGATTGGAATTTAACAAAAACTTTAAGGGTTTAGGACTTGAGGCTTTGTGGCTACTAAACCTGAACCCAACATCACAAATCATCAAGATTCTCCACACCCTTGCCATTCAGGGTTGAGGGCATCCCAACATCTCGACTTTATCGACTCACCAAACCTCCCCACCACGCAGTCCGATGTCCCAAATTAGCCAAACACAACTGCGTCCGTTGTCCTGCTCCGCACACACACACACACACACGCACACACACGTATGTATATATATATATGTATATATATATATCTATATATATATACAAGCACAGAAAACCCTACCTGTACCACCAAATCTCCTGCCGTAACATTTGCTGTAAACCTCATAGAGCCCTTATTGTAGGAGGCGTCAGAGCAAGCCTTATAGCCTTATGGTAACCCTTGTCATCCCGTTAAGCAAGTTCTCAACAACACACTACCCCGGAGGGTCCTTTACCACCCTCACCATAATGGTACATTGAAGGCTGGGTCCTGCGAGCATCGGGGGCTCGGTTGCTTCGGGTTTGCTTTAGGGTTCAGGGTGCACTGTTCGGGGAGAAGGCCGCCCTAAACCCTAAACCCTAAACCTAAACCCTAAACCCTAAACCCTAAACCCTAAACCTAAACCCTAAACCCTAAACCCTAAACCCCAAAGAAGGCCGGGGGTGGGGGGGCTCGGGCTCGGGCTCGGGGGTGAAACGTCTGATGCCTAGGATTTGGGAGCTCCGGGGTCGATGCTGCTCAAGCATCGTAGGTTGAAGACCACTTGGAGGTTCATGGGTAGTTATAAGTGGGATTATAAGTAGGGTAACTGTAATTATAACCCATATTGGGGGACTTATAACCCCATTTATAACTATCCCTGAACCTCCAAGCAAGCCTGAAAAACGGCACATCTAGACAATCCCAGTATGCATCTCAACATCCTGCGTGGCAAAAATCGTTGTTACCTTAAGCCTCAAACCCTCAACCCTCCTATAAAACACGATGTAAGTTGAAAAAGGCCGCATCAAACCCTGAACAACCCTCATGAAGCTCTGGAAAACATCGTTAAAGCTCCAGACAAACCTAACCCCCCCCTAAACCCGGAGAAAATGCACAAAATGATATCTGCACCCTCGGCTTCCAACCCTAAACCCTAAACCCCTAAACCCTAAACCCTAAACCCTAACCCGCACCTCTCCAGCCGAAGAGTCCCAGATAGGGTGGCAGAGCAGGTCGCGAGACCTCTCACGATTTTGGGCTCCAACACCTTTTTGGGGCTAGGGTTTAGGGTTTAGGGTTTAAGAAAGATCGCCGTCCCCAAAAAAAAAGTTAACCCTTTCAATTTTTGGTAGGTTTACAATATTAACCCGAGAAGATGAAACACTTACCTACTCAGCTACTATATAAGGATAAAATGCCACAGCCCTAAACCCTGAACCCCTAAACCCTAAACCCCAAAGCCCCTAAACTGGAGTAGTGTTCTGGTTTAAGTTATGCGAAGATTATAAGAAGGAGCACTGAGGACCAGGGTTTAGGGTTTTTCGGCTTAGGCCTAAGGCCCATACGGAATACTGAGAACAAACCTATAGTATCTGGTTCAAGGATTAGGGGTCTAGGGTTTAGGGGTTTAGGGTTGGAGGTTTAGGGTGTAAAGTCTATACAAGAAGCTTATAGTGGACAGTGTGCATGTAAATAACCTTGCTAAGTGAAGGGTCAAGTGTTTATGTCTGCCCTAAACCCCAAACCCAAATGTCGGCATTTGGGGCTCATGATTCGAGAAATGAATCCCTGACTCCTTTCCCTTACAGTGCTCAGAGCTCGTAGGTCGCTAGTAAATCCGGACACCTACAGCAAGCTGGTACAGCACTGCTCCAACGCCACTGCTCCAAACTTACCACACTTGGAGGTAATGTTCTGACATTCGACTAAATAAGTAAACAGTAGAAGCATGTATAAATAAGTATATATATATACACATACGTATGCACACTCATGTGTGTGTGTATATATACCATAAATAGTTCCTATAGCTTAAAGATTGCCTCGGTGGCGTCGAGTCTGAATGCTCCCCGCGGAGACGTCCCCGGGCATACGAAGTCTCAAGAAAGCGGACTTCCAACAGGGCTCGGCTGAGGCTCGCGGAGGAGTAATATAGGGGCTTTAGGGTTTAGGGTTTAGGGTTTAGGGGCTGTATTAATTAGAATAGGGTTTTTGGGGGTTCAGTGCTAAAGTAGAATTATTAGAAGGACACCCGCCCAAAAAAAGTATTGGTACATATTTAGACTCCTATATTACCTTTGGGCTCGTGCTTCAGGGCGTAGGGCGTCATCTGTGACTTGTTGGGTGCCTTCTGTGAGTGGAAGGACGTGTTCCCAACACTGAGCTTTAAAAGCATGCATGGACACGGCAAGGTACAACACCATATACTTTGGTAGGACTCTGACGTCTCGCGCCCTCAACCCTAAACCCTAAACCCCCCTAAACGCCTAAACCCTAAACCTCTAAACACTAAACCCCGTCAACCCTCGACCCGAAACCCCAGCCGTGGAGACTCCTCAAGCAATCCGCCGAAGGTCTTTGAGCGCCCTTTCAATGGTTAGGTTTTAGGTTTAGGGTTTAGGGTTTAGGGTTTTAGGGTTGAGGGTTTAGGGTTTTAGGGTTTAGGGTTCAAGAGCTACGAACCTCCCCTGAAGTAGAAACTTGGGCCCTGAAGTAACTAATAGTAGGGTTCTAGGGTTTAGGGTTTATAGGGTTTCAGGGTTTAGGGTTTATAAGGCTTGACCCTAAACCCTAAACCCTTTTTTCTTTTTTTGTTCAGGGTTTAGCGTTTATAAGACGTATAAACTTGGGCCCTTGAAGTGACTATATGAGCACATGGGCCCTTAGAGGGGTCTTGAATCTGAAAATGCCATCAAAGCCAAACACCCTAAACCCTAAATCCTATAGCCAAGAGGCCCTAAGCCCTAAATCCTATAGCCAAAAGCTCTAAACCCATAAACCCTAAATCCCAGAGCCAAAACCTTAAGCCTTTCCCAGGCTCAAGTTGCTCTCTGGCCGGTCAGTTTCTCGATGCCCATCCGGGAGGCCACTTTGTCGTAGGAGTGTTCTGGTGAATGTTTTGTTGCCCTGTGCAGGCGCGCATTCCTTCAAACACGCTGGGCTTAGTTAGATATCTGGGATGCTATAGCAGAACCCTTACACTGTCTAAAGATATTAATGGCCCCTTCTTACTATTCGCCTGACGGGTGTTGAGTTTAGTGGGTCAGCACGTGGCAGCGATGCCTAAACAAGGTGCTCCGCTGCGAAACCGAAGTCAGGGTTCAGGAGTTCAGGGCAAGTCAAAGCAAACATGAGAAATTGAAGCCAGGCAGCTAGGCAGCCAGTGTGGGATCAAGAGACCCTTCAGTACCACGGGTGCCATGCGAAGTCGGAGCATAGTTGAAGGCGTAGGAACATGCGATTTTGTACGTGGTCAAAGTCTGCCTAGCAATACAACAGTAATTAACAAGGTCGTCGTCGTCCTCCTCCTCTTCATGCAGTCGTCGTTGCGGTGGTGATAGATCAAACGGATAAAACGAACACAGAGACGAATAATGACAGTGCAACCTTCAGGCCATGACTAGTAGACACGTCAGCCTCACAGAAAGAAACGCTGTTCTTCACAAAATCTCACAATAGCATGCAGCACCAGCGAAATAATGACATGCCCGTGACAGTAACGATGAGAATCAGAACGCACATGTTCACAGTAATTAGTAATAATGATGACACTGGCGCAACATTCTAGATTCGCCTTCAATTCCAGCCTCTCTCTGCTTGAAGCAGAGGCAAAGGCCAAACACCACCACGGAATCTTCCGGCCGTCCGGCTGTGCGGCTGCACTGGTTTCGGGTGTTTTCAGGGTTCACAGGATGAGTTGGGGAAGGATTGCGGGTTTAGGGCTTCAGGCTTCTTATGGGCGTGAGGGGCTTCTGCAGGGTACATACGCGGCTGGGGAAGCCAAGGAAATATATATATATATACATAGAGTGTATTAATAATTAATATATACCTACATTACATATACACACGCATGCTTTTGTCGGGAAATGACTCCGGACAAAGGAACATCCAAAGCTAAGCCACATGTACATAGGATCCCACGTGTGATATAACAAACCAAGCGAACCCTGTATGGATGTATATTAACATGAAACGACGCAAATCTGCCTAAAACCCCAAGAGCATTTGACCCACATTCAACAATACGGCTGATGATCAAAATCCTGCATTACCCAAAATAAGGACTATACCATAAGTTTAGGGTCCTTAAGGTAATTGCAGGAGTTGTATCATCAACAGCACAACCCTAAACCCTAAACCCTTGAACAATATCGATTATTGGCCCAGCCTGCGAGGGGTAAGCAGGTCTATCTGGCCTTCACGCGAAGAACCTGGCCGATGCGGCGTTCAGGCATCGTACTGCAGGGCCTGTAGGAGCCTTAATAATTAGAATGGGTTTTTGGGCTCCTTTATACTATTGCTCCAACAAGGAACCCTAAGGAATACTATAGGTAGGTTTTTTTCGGCTTCTATAGTAGAGGGCTGGGATTTGGGATGAATGCTAGAGCGAATTTCTGTTGGGGTTTGGGCCGTTGGGGCGCATGTCAAGCCCCAAACGCTAGAGCAGAACCTACATGGAAGAGCTAAGCCAACATTGGAACTCACCGCCGTAAAGCATCACTAATAAGCGATCTAACCGAGTCATCAAATCCACGATTGCAAGCGTATAGAATCTACGTCCTGGAACTACAACATGAAGTCAACATTAAACGCCGAAACACATCACCAAACCTAAACACCGACTACATGTGTCTTTCCGAGTATCATCCATAATGCACCGAACTTCCGAAAGAGGCCAACTGCAATCTACACGGTCAGTTGTTCCTAAATTCAAGCCCTGCTTCTTGGCAAGACAAAGACTCTTGAAATAAACCTAGCGACAACCCTCCCCAAACCCTTATTAAAACCCTAAACCCTAAACCCTCCCCAAACCTTATTATATAAAGCATAAAAACTCAAGCGGCCCTAAACCCAAACCCTTGAGCCCTAAACCCCCAAACCCTAAAGTCCCCACATAGCTGCACCGCCAGCGCTTCCGAAAGCCCATGATGCAGGGCCGGGCCTCAAAAATGAGCATTCGCCACCTCGGAGCGCGATTGGTGTTTGAACATCACCCACGGTTTAGGGTTTAGGGTTTAGGGATCTAAGGATTCATGTTTTAAGGCTTTAGGGCCCAAAGACCATACTGTGCAAACTTTTGGGCTATTTTGAGCCCTAGGGTCAAGTTTGTGCATGGACTCTCAACTGCAGCTTCTTTATGGGTGCGCTTGACGGCTTCCTACTTTCTCAAAGCCTTGCCACAAAACGGCTGCACCACAAAGTGTGGTAACATTCACTCTTTGTAACCCTTACAGAGCTTGTACCTACAGGCTCCAGTCTAGTTCCTGTTGGTGGTATATATTTAGGATTTAGGATCATATATAATCCCAAAAAGGAAATACAATGCAGCCTGTGGGTTTAGTACGCTATGAGCTCCTCCAGTCTGAAAACGAATCCATGAACCCTAAACCCGAAACACTAAAGCCCAAAGCCCTAAATCCAAAACTCCTGAACCCCTCCCCTCAGGCTCTAAGGGCTCCTGTTTTAGGGTGATGGGGTCCTTCAGACCATACTGTTGGGCTATTTTGAGCCTGGGATCCTGGGGGCCATACACCCTGAACTCTATCCCGAAACCCCAAACCCTAAACCCTAAACCCCAAACCTCTGAACCCACAAAGTCCCAAAGCCCAAACACCCTGAAAGCTGGAAGCCACCCGAAGCCAGGAGCCAGCAGCTTCATAACGCGGGCGTTCCAAATAGCCCATCCAATTTGGAATTCGAATATACCTTAAACCAGACTAGAATGATTTACGGTGTATACATATATATATATATATTCCTTAGTAGGGTTAGGGTTATGGGGTCTGGGGCTTTAGGGTTCTAGGGTTTAGGGTTTTAGGGCTTGTGGTTCAGGGTTTTATTTAGGGTTTGAGGATACAGGGCCTGAATGGTTAGAATAGGGCTGTCGGGTACAGCAGACCATGATTATGAGAAGGAGCCCCCAGGCCCTAGCCCTTAGCATCAAAATAGAATCGGGTTGTTGGGATCAAGAGCCTTAAAATATGAGTCCTTTGAGGAAAACGGTAAGGAAGAATATTGGCAGTTATTCACGCTTCTATATTGTTGCGCGCCGATATTTCAGAACCTTAAGTTAAACCTCCGAGACAATGAATCTTGAATCCTACACCCTCCCCCATTCCCAAATCTCATTACTTCTTTCTTGTCGTCCAGTTCTCCTTGGAGCAACCCAGAACCGGAAAACATGAGCGATGTTGCTTTGGGGAGAAACTAGCACCCTAGCACCCCCTAAACCCTAAACCCTAAACTCCAAACCCTAAACCCTAAACCCTAAACCCCCTAAACCCTAAACCCTAAACCCTACTAGACCAAGAAACCTGAACCGAGCTCTGTGAACCCGACATCTTCAGCGTGAAGTTCTCCGCTTCCTCGTCCAAAAATCCTTCCAGCCTTGGTCTAACCCCAAGGGCCCATGAGGTTTAAAACAAAAATAAACTGAGGGGTTTAGGGTTTATAGGGTTTAGGGTGGTCCACGTACCCAAAAATAGTAGATACTTTGGCCTGGCCCCAAAGCACCTCAAGAGGGACTGCCTGAAGGCCAAAGTGCATGCTACTTGGGTCTTTTGAACCCCTAAACCCTACCTGGACCCCAAAAGTATGTAGAATAATAGCCTTTTATGGGTTTTGGGGTCATTATTTTACCTACTTTTGGGGGTTTAGGTAAACCCTAAACCCACAAAGCCCTTAAAGGAACCCTTAAAAGGAGCCCTCGACTTTCCTAAACCCTTAAAGGAACCCTTCTAAGATCCCTTAGACCCCTATTGTGGGTACCCCTTCGGGTAGCTGTGCTTTATCACCGGGTACTTTCGGGTTCACAGCTTCGGGGATTCGGGCTTGTTCAGGGCTTAGGGTTTAGGGGTT